CCTGCCCATGGCAGGGGGGTTGGAACTGGATGATCTTTGAGGTCCCTTCCAACCCAAACCATTCCATGATTTGCTCTCTCTAACACCCTTCTGACTGCCCATCCTCTAGATGTGTCGGCTGTGAACTGTCCAGCCTGTGGACCAGCGACATCCTGCTGACAGCAAACTCCCAGTCATGCTCTTTATTCCTGTCGCACAGCTTTAGTGGTTGGATTTCTTCACTTTTTTTTTTCAGGTCCCTGGGGGAAAACTTCTTAGCCTTTCCCCTGGAATTCTAGTAATTTACTAAATTAACCTATGCCAAAAATACGGCCAGACTGGTGTTGGTGCTGCGGGACACCAGTTGAGCAGTGGTGTTTCCGCATTGCACCCGGAGCAGGGAGCTGCCATAAAGCAGCAGGTTTGCTGCCTTTCAGCTTCATGGGAGAGGAGAAAGTGTCCCACCTTCTCCGGGGACAGACTGCTTGGGAGGACCCTTCAGCTCTTCTGCTTTGAGGGGTGTAGGTGCCTCACAGCCTACGGAAGGGGCTGCGGAAGCGCTACTGCAGGTCTCTCCTGCGGCTTTTCTGTTGCAGGGACTTGGCTGTAGCCCTGGAACAACATCTGCTCATGATGTGCTGCTGCCTTTTGGGGTCACACAGCCCGTGTCGGAGAGCTTTCTGCCTGGCTGTGATGATGATGGTTCTGCCACGGTTCCTGTGCGCTGCCCTTTGGGTGGGGAATAGGGACAAACCCACCACTCAGCAATCGGAGGGTTTGGGTTCGGGTTTGTTTTCATAATGGTTTGCGAGCGAAGAAGGATGATAATTCACTTGGAAAACAGAATTCCCTTTCCATGTGGGCTTAAAAACCCGACTTTGCAGGTAGAACACCTCCGTCAGGCTTCAGACTGACCCACCTCCTTGCCCCCAACCGTTGTGGCTGTCGAGTTCCTCCAGTGATGCCCCCGCCAGAAGGTCTGGGGCATGCTCCAGGCTATCAGCTTTACCCGGTTTAAATGCCGGCCTCGTGCTGCCGAATTTCTGGGCACAGGGACGGTTTCCAGCCGGCGGATGCGTGAGAGATGGGGGCCACCAGCCACACGGAGTCAGTGTTGCTCTGTGCGGAAGAGGCTTTGCCCTAAATTCCTCCCCCTGGGCGATGTTGGAGGAACCCTCAGGGTCCTAACAGCCTCCCCAGGGCACTTGGGGGGCATCTTTTCTTAAAGCAACACTTTGCTGGGGTTTATTTTCATGAAACTTGGCTGGATGTGGGGGAAAGCCCCTCCTCCGTGGGTGCCTTCGGCAGCACCCTCGCTTTTCCGCAGCCACCGATCCTACGGCTCGTGCGGACCCCGCAATGGGAGCCTTAAAGCAACTGCAGAGATGTCCCAGTGTAGGTGATGGTGCTTTAATGGGCTCGGGCTCGGGGGGAAGAGCATCCCACAGCGGGGCTGAGTGTGGGAGGTGCTGCTGCCCATCAGACGCGGGAGTCCATG